AAATAATGAAACCAAATTTTAATTTAAAAACAAATATCTCCCATCAAAGAAGAAAGTCTGTGATTTGATGGCTTTGCTGCTGGAATTCATCAATATTTAGGAAAGAATGAATACCAGTTCTTCTCAAACTTATTCCCAAGAGTTGATTGGATGAAATACTCCCGAATTTGTTTTACAACTATTGCTCCATTATTAGAGCCAGACAGGGGCACTACAAGAAGGGATGTTATAGTCCAAAACTCCTGAAGAGCACAGATGCAAACAGATTTCAATAACAGATTAAAAGGGTTATTACCCACTAGTTAGAGAGTGCACCTGCAGCCCCAGCTTCTTGGGAGGCTCAGGCAAGAAGAGAGACCACTTATCCTAAGAGTTCATCAGCCTGAGCAACATGCTGAGACTCTATTTCTTAAAGCTAAAACAATCAAGAAAAACAAAAGGGCTGGGTCTGGAGAGATAGCCCAGCAGTTCACAGCATTACTCCTCGTACAGAGGACCAGTGTTCAGTTCTTAGCACCCACGTCAGGCAGCTGGCAACCACCTGTAACTCCAGCTCTGGGGGAGCTGATGCTTTCCTTTGGCATCTGGGGGAACCCACATGCCCATATATACATAATTAATATAAATTTAAATTTTTTAAATTAAAATAAATAAAAGTATCATCCACCATAATCAAGCAGGACTTATTCCTGGAGTGCAAGGATGGTTCAACATATACAAATAAAAAAAGCTGTGGTATATCCATCAATGAAGACAGGAGGACCACAAAGACAGATCTGTATGACAGAGAAATGCCTTTAACCATACAGTCAAATTTAGCACCAGTAATGGTGAGATGATGTCTCCTGAGGTGACGTAACAGTGTCAAGGGACAGCCTACGAAATACTCTCGCCAAAATGGTTAGTCCAAATTTAATTAACCCCTTAGCCCCTAACTTCTGCTACTACAGGAAGTCTATGGCACAGTGGAATAAGTTAATGAAACTATGGAAACTGACCTAAAAGTGAGACACTTGAAAAAAATGCCTGGTCTTTATATTCTTCAACTATTAAAACATTAGAAGAAAGAAAGAGGTTAAGAATGTTCCAGATGAGGGTTTCTTAAACTTTCCCCCTAGCAACCCCTTTTTGCCCAGAATTTTTATATGACTTTAGATATACAGAGGTATATAAACTAAATATTTATTGGTGATAAATAATAAAGACATTTATTTTAAAATAACTCATTGATAATAATTTTTAATTTTATTTTATGCACACGGGTATTTTTGGCTGCATGTATGGCTCTGCACCACTTGCATGAAGTACCCATTGAACCCAGAGCATCCCCTGACTTGGAGTTATAGCCGTGTGGGTGCTGGAAATCAAACCCAAGTCCTCTGGAATTGCAGCTGGAACTCTTAACCATTGTGCCATTTCTCCAACGCCCTAATTTTATCATTTATTAAAGACAAAACCAATTGGCACACAAATGCTGAGATGGACATGCTTACTCTTACAGAAGAAGTGGAGCCTTGGCTTATACTTGGTACTGCAGGATGAAGGGCATTCTTCACATTTTTCAGAGATGGTTATTGTTTTGATTAATATTTTTCATTGTCAATGCTGACAACATTGCTTTGCATAAATATGTAATGCAAAGTGGTAGAAAATGTCTAGAGCCGCTTCAGAATTGACTGGAAGCTCTGTGTCAAGGACAAGCCAAAACTCACTTAAAACTATTTCCGTGAAGCTCAAGTCAGCAACGCAGAGAGCAATTTTTAAAATCAACCAGCCAATCAGGAGTTGGAGAGATGGCTTACAGGTTAAGAGTGTTTGCTGCTCTTTCAGAGGACCCGAGTTCGAGTCCCAGCACCCATTTTGGGCAGCTCATAACTACCTGCATCTCCAGTACCAAGGGACTGCACACTTTTCTCTGGTCTCTGTGGGAACCTGCACTCATGTACACCTCCATAATCCAATTAAAAATAGAATAAAAGTAAAACCTTAAAATCAAGCAATTAAAAAATTAATTTGATATACACCAAGGAATGACTAACTAGAAAAAAATAGAAAGCCTGTGTTTTCCATAATTAAACCATCATGTTTCTATGAGAGCAGAACCCTTTGTACACTCAGCAAAAACACTGCAATCAATAATACCATCCCACAGTCTTGAATCTGAGTCGAGGTGTTTGGGGCAGCATTTGCTGGCATTTGGCGGTGTGGCAGCATGCACATGGCAAAATGTGTACACTAAGCTTGGCAGCAAGGCTGCAGCGAAGTCACAACATGGGCAAGCACTACCAGAAACATCTCACATTTGCTAGAGACTTTTATTGTTGCTAAATTGTTCAGAACATTGCCACATTTGGGGAGCGATGCCTTCTTCTGGTCTCCATGGGCACCTGCATTTCCCCCTCCCAGGGTCTGGCTCAGCTGCTGTCTTTACAGGTTTACCATTTTTAGGAAGCTGAACTCTCTACTAAAAGATTCTTCTGAAACAGCACACTAGGCAAACTCTGCCTGAACTGACTGGCTGCTGGTTTGAGACAGCTTTAGAAGATGACTGCGGGATGACGTTGAACATGGTACTTGACTGTTAAGACGATCTGGGAGGTTATATTAGGGAGTTACTGCTCATTTTCCAAGTTGGCAATGGTAGTGTTAACAGCTTCCTAGGGCACATCCCTGTTAAGTGTCACAAGATGAAGTATTTCAGGTGTGTCTCAATGTACAGCATGACTTCCACATGGTTCTGGAGAAACCGTGTGTATCATATGCATCTAACAAATACGGCAAAGTGATAACAGTAATAGTTCATGTATTCCTTGTGCTCAGGACTAGGTACATGGATGTGGAAAGGGGTAAGACAAAGCCCCTGCCTCTAAGGGTCTCGCTGTCTCACAGAGGGGGACATGTGGCTTTTCACACCATGAAGTGAGTGTTCTCATCCCCCACACAGTTACTAGGTGCCTGCTCCGTTCTGGTGCTTCGCCAGGAGCTGCAGGCACAGAGCTTAGAGACCTTCCAGGGAGGTGTAACTGTGGATTTAGGACTCTAAAAGGTGTTAGACCTAAAATTCACAGAGTACCAAACAACACAGAGGAGAGAGACCGACCTAGCTCACCCAGGGAGGGGCACGGGGACTGTGGGGAAGAGGCTGAAGTTTGCAAGACTGACAAGAAATCCAATAGAGAGTGGAGATGTGGGTGGGCAGAAGCACGCAGGCCAACACCCCCTCCCCCCACATGCCACCATGCTCAGGGGACAGTGCCCCAGGAGCATGAAATCAGACAGAAGGCAGCCATGGGCTGAGGGGATGAGGTGGGTGGGTGTTAAATCTTAAGCAGATGTAGGAACTGGGGCTCCTTCTTCAGGCACCGGGAGCCGAGAACATCCATATAGAGCAGCTGCTGCCTCAGCACACTGGACCCAGACAGGAGACAGCATTCTCCTGCCTCTGGCTGAATCTCCACATGCTCTAGGTGTCTGCCCATCAGGCTTTGTCAGCTCCACTAATCTGAAGAGCCACAGGGACTTTCAGGGACCAACTCTATGCCAGCAGGCAATATAAAGTATTGTGGGCTGAAGGCTCCATGATCCTTGAGCTGCTGGAGCTGAGAGTGATGAAGGGTGGCCCTGGAGTGACCTGTGAGGGACAAGGGAAAAGGCCCTGAGGATCTGTTTCTCCTAGGACTCCGTAGAGAATCTTTCTAGAACCAAGAAATAAGTGGGGCCTTCGCCTTAGCTGTTTAGGAGGGAGCAGCTTTTTGCTATAGTCACAGACAAGCAAAGCCATAGGGTATTCTGCATGACCTCTGGGGTTATCTGGCTTGGCGGCTGTCTTTATATGCTCATCATTTTTATGCTGGGCATAGAGAGAGCTTTTTGTACAATGGATGCCAGGACACGAAATTATGTCACCGTTCCTGCCCTAAACTGTAAGACTGGCCTTTTCTCCTACAACGGCTGCCTCTGCTGATCTGGCCTGAAATTCTGGGTTCCAGACCCTTTTAACCAGGGTCCCGTCTCTTTTAACTGGGGATGGGGCAGCCCTGGGGGTGGCCCCAGTGTGCTCCCTTTTTGGAACTGAGCCTTCTCTTAGTGATAGAGGAGGTACTTCCTCGGGGTCTTCACAGTTGAGAGCCTGTGCAGAGCATCTCAAAGGAGGACTCTTACCAAAGGCCCTTGGCATTTCCCAGCATTTGCTAGTGTCGTTACCGTGTCTCTTTTCTCATTGGCTCCATGGGATGTCTCTTGAACCGCAATAAGAAAACCATGGTTGCAAAGGGCCTACGTTAGCGATGGGTGTCTGGCTGAGGAGAAAGCTCAGGGCCCAGGGGCAAGGTCAGACGGGTGCCATACCAACTATAAGCCACTCACCAGTGAGCAGTGGGGGAGCCAGCCCCAGGCACAGAAGGCAGCCAAGCAGGCAGACAGCAACAGGAACCCCCAGGCTAAGGTGAAGCAGCAAGGCCTTCGGCCATCTCAGCTGAGGGCAATCTCTCCACCAGGAAATCACCCCCTCCTGGACGCCCCCATCAGCATATGTCAGCTGTGCCTGGCCTGCGCCCACCCAGAGGCCGAGTGAAGCCATTAGGCAGATGATCAGAGCAGATGATGATGGTGATGAAGGATCTTTAGGACCAAAGCCATCAGGAGGCCCAGCCTCAGGGGCAACTCCAGGCTAGGTCAAGTGTCTAGTGGGGTGCATGTACCGAAAGGGGCGTCTCCTTCAGAAGTAGAGATGGTGAGGTTGGCCCATGCAGATCTCTCTTTTTGGATCGCAGAGCACCCTTCAAGTCCGGGTCCCTCAGATCCCCGCCCCCATCCCAGGAAGCCTTGTCAATCAAGAATCAAAACCTGCTGAGGGTTGGGGCACAGACTGCCCCCAAAAGCGGGCGCTGACTCAGTCTGCAGTCTCTGTGGCGGGGCTGAGTCAACCCCTCTGCCCTGGTGAGTTGTCGCGCATTGGGGAGCCCCGTGTACCCCCGCCAGGCCCGCGCCACCTCGCCTACCTGTGCCCGCGGCTCGGCTCCTCCTCGCTGGCGCTGCCCCAGCCTGGACTGAGGTACCGGGCTGGGTCCCCCGCTGCCTGCGCAGAGGTCCCTTCCGCGTCCTCCTCCAGATCCTCCACGTCCTCGGCCTCCTGGATGGCCACACGGATCTGCACCGTGGTCTCTGGCCCCGGCAGAGCCTGATCGCCGAGCTGGGCCATGGCTGGCAGGGTCCCCGCGCGGCGAGGCCCGGCCAGCCGGGCGGCCGCGATAGCTACGGTCGCGCGTGGGCGGCGCGCGCACGGCGGCGACTCAGCCCCGGGGAGGGACGGGGGTCGCGATCCGCCCCACGCCGCACCGCGGGCACCGCCCTGAGCGCCCGCGCAGGGACTGCGCGGAACGACTCCCGGCGCTGCACAGGCCTGTCCCGGGGTAAATCCCAGACCCAGTCCCTCCCCGTGTCCCTGTCTGGTGGTGCTCCAGCCCCACAGCTCCCTCCTCCCTGCCGCTCGCACAGACACAGCTCAGCTGGCTTCTGGCTTTGGGCTGGACTAGCGGAGACAGGCACAAGTCAACAGCTCGCAGGCTTGTCTCCCTGACAGACCCGCCAAGGTGGGAGAAAACACAATCTCTACCGTTAGTTCTGGCATAGCCACCTTAAGGATAGGGTGCGTCCTGTCCCCTTAACAGCTCCAGACACACCTAGCAGCTGATCTAACAGCAAATTGTCAGGCCCAGGATCAAACCGCCTGATTCAGGATCTGCATTTTAAGGAGCTCTCAAAGATGCTGGGGCATCCTAAGTTTCAAAACCACTGTTGTATTGAGATAGTGTTGAGACAGCACTCAGATATTTATTGGGTGAATAAAAGGACTATTTAAATGCCAGTATGCTCTGAAGTCCTGCCACGCTTTAACAGCCTTAAGATGAGTTCTGTCTTAGCCGCCTTAATACCCAGAAACAAGGAACAATGGTAAGACTTGAGTTTGTATCCACGAAGCTCTTCATCAAAGGCCTTCGACATAACCGATCACATTAGCCATATCAGGGTACCAAAGAACAGCCTGTTGTCACACGTGTTTCTCTGCTTTGCTGTGGGACCTCAAGGCAGGAGACACTCAGGGAGTCTGGTCTTTGGGAAGACAGTGTCCGGGTAGAAGGACACCATGCATAGTGCCCTGGTTTCCAGGCTGGGGCCAGGAGACACCTAAAGGCCCAGAAAGGAAGTCCCTTCCCCCTTCAAGGCTAGGAATAGAGCCCAGCATCTCCTGCACATTGGACAATTGCTCTGTCTTTGAGCTGTACCCCCAATCTCACGGCCCCTCTTTTGAGGTTTGACCAAATTCGTGTTCCATTGTCAGATTTATTTTATCTTATCTTATTGGAGGGGGGGGCATCTCACTGTGTAGGCTTAGTTGGCCTGGAACTCACTCTTGTAGCCCAGGCTGGCCTCAGACTGAACTCACAGAGATCTCCCTGCCTCTGCCTCTCAAGAACAGGGACTGAAGGCCTGTGCACCTCCCACACACACTGCCCCCCAACACCGTTAACCCCCCGTTAGTCTCTTTCTGTCAAGAAGAGAAAGGTGCTGGATGTGACTGCTGCTTCTCTATACCAGCTGTTTGCTCATGGCTTCTGGGGAGGTGAGCTACTGGGACAAAGAGGCAAGTAGTTAAAAGTATTTTTCCCAAAGCTGGAGAGATGGCTCAGCATTTAAGAGCACTGGCTTTCTTCCCGAGGTCCTGGCTTTGATTCTCAGCAGCCACATGGTGGCTCACAGCCATTTATAACTACAGGGCATCTATAACTTCCAGGGGATCTGGCACCTTCTTCTGGCCTCTGTGGATACCAGGCACATTCATGATGTACAGACATATGCAGGCAAAACACCGTACATCGTTTTTCCAGAGCCAGATGTGCCTCCTTCCAGGACAGCAGAGATTAAAGAACCCACACACACCTGGAGGGAGGTCAGGATTTACAGTGGCCTCTCTGACAACTGCCTTCCCTGAGTTTCACAAGGCAAGACCCACCTGGTGTGGCAAGACAGCAGGGGTCATCATCTGTACCACCCCAGTGGTGGGTGCCCATTCCTACTGGGTCCTTCATTCACGAGAAATTTATAATGATCTCATTTCAGGGTTGCCAGTGCTTCGCCGTACGAACGCCCTGGAGCTGGGGACGAAGCTCAGTGGTAGAGAGAGGCTCTAGGTTCAATTCCCAGTACCAGACCCCAAACCAAACGTCTCCTGGAGCCCTTATAAAAGTAGGGCTACTCCACATAGAGTAGACATCCTACATAGCAGGTGAACATGGTCCACAAAACTGTCTTATTTGGTCAGAATTTTTGAAGCAAAGGCGAAGGGAGGGGCTGGTGAAATGGTTCAGCGGTGAAGAGCACTTGCTGCTTTTGCAGAGGACCTGAGTTCGGTTCCTAGACCCCACACTGGCTTCTGCAAGCACGTATCCACAAGCGGACACACACACATACACACAAATCAAAATAAAACACATCTTTTAAAAACGAATCTCTATGTCCGGCAAATAGGTCTGCCTCTGCTCTTTCTGGTGTTATTTATTTATGACTCCCCATGAGAAGAGTTTGGGATCTAGAAATGTTGTCAGACTCTGTCTCAAGTAAATAGGGTAGAAAGTGATAGAGCATGACACACACACCAGCATACACACACACACACACACACACACACACACACACACACACACACACAGAGCAGTGTAGTAACCTTTCAACCAGGTCCCTACCAAGGTAGGGATAAACATAGGACATCTTGCTGAGTTACTGATTTTGTCCAAATATTTGTAAGAAGAGTCATACACAAGCATTAAAACAACCCGGAATGTCTTTGGAATTGGAGGCAAACCTAAGGCGACTTCACGTAACGTTCTCATATTTAGTATCTGGCTCGCTCGGCAGGCATGACATCTGGGGGAGGGGAAGACAAAAACCCTCCTGTGCATTTGGGCTACTTCATGAGAGGAGACAGCTCAGTCACTTGTCAAATGAGGAAAGTGAGTTCCAATGAGGCTTTCAGAGAGCAGCCCCGCCTCCTCTCTGCCACGTCCTCGGCACCCAGTATTGGTTCCAATGGAGCCTTGCTTCTGGAACGCCTGCTGCTTTGGTCTAGTTGTTCATGCTCAAACATTCCACCATTGGAGAAGGAACCAGAGACTCTCAAACCCCTTCAGGTTTCCAGCTCCTTCCTCCCCAGGACACCGGAAGTGGCCAGTCTCCACACACACACTCCCACTGTTAGGAGTCCCACAAGAACACCAAGCTACACAACCATAACATATATGCAGAGGACCTAGCTCAGACCCATACGGGCTCCACGATCGTCACTTCAGTGTCTGTGAGCCCCTACGAGTCCTGCTTAGTTGATTTTGCAGGCCTTGTTCTTGTGGTGTCCTCGACCCCTGGTCCTACAGCCCTTTCCTCCCCTCTTCTGGGGGGTTCTTCTGGCTCTGTCTGGTGTTTGGCTGTGGGTCTCTGCATCTGCTCCCATCAGTTGCTGGATGACACCTCTCTGATGATAACTGGGCTAGGACCGATCGATGAGTATGACAGAATATCATCAGGAATCATTTCATTGACTCCCCACCCCATCCTGCCTCTGGTTCCTGGCTTTCCAGGCAGTGTCAGGCATGGGCTCCCTCCTGTGGTATGGGTCTCAAGTTGGACCAGTCATTGGTTTGGCCACCATGACAGCAGCATGTCTTGCAGGCAGGACAGGTTGTAGGTTGAAGGTTTTGTGGCTGGATTGACTTCCCAGTCTCCCTGCTGGGAGCCTTGCCTGGTTACAGAAGATGGCCAGTTCAGGCTCTGTATTCCCCATTACTGGGAGACTTCACTAACGTCTTTCTTGTACATTCCAGGGAGTTTCCACTGACCTAGGTTTCTACATCACTCCCCCCAAAATCCCCAATTCCAGTTGCCTCTCCCAGTACTCTCTCCCTCTGTCCCCTCTACCCCCACCAGATCTCTCCTGTTCCCATCCCCACCCACTCCCAGTCCACCCATGAAATCTGTTCTGTTTTCTCTTCCCAGGGAGATCCTTGCACCACCCCACCACAGCCCTCCATGTTACTTAGTCTCTCTGGGTCCTATTGTAGCATGACTATCCTTTATTTAACAGCTAATGTCCACTTATAAGTGAGTACATACCATAATTGTCTTTCTGGGTTTGGTTTCTTCACTCAGGGTGATTTTTTTCTAGATTCATCCATTTGCCTGCAGATTTCATGTCATTGTTTTTAATACCTGAGTAATACTCCATTACTGTAAATGGGCCACATTTTCTATATTCATTCTTCGGTCAAAGGACATCTAGATTGTTTCCAGTTTCTGCCTATTATGAATAAAGCTGTTACGAACATAGTTGATCAAGTGTTCTTGTGGTAGGATAGAGCGTCCTTTGGTCTTATGCCCAAGAGTGATATAGCTGGGTTTTGAGGTAGATCAATTCCCAATTTTCTTAGGAACCACCATATTTGTAGCTTGAGTTTCCCTGCCTTGCCCACAGTCAGGACAAATCTTTGTC